GTGTACGTGTGCTGATCTTTGTAATTATAAATTGTGAATACATGTGACTAATATTATTTTCTTTTTTATTTTGTACATGTTACAAGTTATAAATAAATATAAAGAAACAACACTAACTCGATAACATTAAATCTAAATACCAAGATGATTAATTTACTGTGTTTTTGTTATTTATTACTCCTGTTTTTAGGTATTCGGTATTCGGCCGAATAGTGATTAAATATTCGGTATTCGGCCGAATAGTGAAAAATAGGCCGAATACCGATTAGTAACCGAATATTCGTTACATCACTAATTTTTATAATAAAGAAAATTAATTTGGTTTTCGAACAACTCGCAGTTCGAACGGCCGTTTGGAATGAATTAATTTCGAAGTATAAAGCATCAATAAATAAAATGTTTTTAAATATACTTTTATTTACACAAACCAACTTTAGTGGATCTGCTCAATTTAAAATAAAAAGAAAGATGTTTTCAAATACAGTGGTGCCTCATACTCTGAAATTAATTCATTCTATGAAACTGTTTGAACTCTGAATCATTCAAAGTCTGAATCAGTTTTTCCTGTTATAAATAATGGAAAACAAATTAATCTATTCCCAGACATCAAACAATACCCATTTTGATAAACTTAAAACAGAAAATACACATAATTAAAGATAAAAATAACTCAATTGGATGCCCTAATAATAAATCAAAATATGAAAACAATAAATAAAATATGTGAATTCCATATAATAAAATGAAAATTGCATTTACTGTTTGTAAACCATTGACTCCAGCATCTTAAACATGGCTGCTAGATATACTATGTGCATACTACTTTTGTGCTTGGCAATAAGTTCCTTTTTTATCTCATTGATATCACAGCCTTCCTCTTACTTGTTAGACTGTCATGGTCCATAAGTAAAGGTTAAATTGGGTTGACACAGTTTTTGCATATTTTTGACAGTGATATTTAACAAAGCTACTTAACAAAGATATGTGATTTAATAAAAATTGTGAAATTTAACACATTATTACTAATTTGATATTGTATTCTTTGTTTAGAAGCTTATTTTGTGCTTCAAGTGCATTTTTTTTTACTGTGTGCAGTTTGAACATAGAAGTAGGTTTGTGTTGAATGTAGCATTCAAACTCTAAAGTGTTCAAAGCTAGAGTTGTTGGAAGTATGAGGTACCACTGTA